ATTTGGATTAACTACATGCTTCATTTTGTGTCTTCCTTATTTTTTGTGTTTTTTCTGTCACCCAGGCTAGGATGCTATGGCTCAATCACAGCTAGCTCACTGCAGCCTCAAACTCCTAAGCTCAAGTGATCCTTGCACCTCTGCCTCTCAAGTAGCTGGGAGACACCACTGAACCCTGATAATCTTTTTTCTTTTTGTAGAGACAAGGGTCTCACTCTGTTGCCTTGGCTGTTCTTGAATTCCTAACCTCAAGTGATTCTCCTGCCTCAGCTTTCCATAGTACTGAGATTACAGGTATGAGCCACCACACCTGGCCAACATGGAGTTTTCTTATACAGAAATGTAGATATATGGCTCACCACTTATTCAGAGTCTCCCTGCGCCTTAAGAGTCCTATGCACCAAGTGCATACTGAGGAGGCTGAAGTGGGAGGATTGCTTGCGCCTGGGAGGTCAAGGCTGCAGTGAGCTGAGATGGTGCCACTGCCCTCCAGCCTGTCTCCAAAAACCAACAAACAAACACCTGTATGCAACTGGCTGGAACCTCCAGTCCAGCTCTTGTGGTCCAAAGCCTTACCTAAAATGTTTCTTGACTGGCTCCAGTTTTAAGCTTCAGCTACCACTGGATTGGTTCAGTTTATAACCCCAAGGGTGGTAGGATGTATTTTCCAAAGATGATTGCACCAATAAAAATTGTATCCCCAGGCTGGGTACAGTGGCCCACACCTGTAATCCCAGCACCTTGGGAGTCCAAGGCAGAAGGATTGCCTGAGCCCAGGAGTTCAAGACAATCTGGGAGACATGGCAAGACCCTGTGCCTACAAAATATAAAAAATTAGCTGGGTGCAGTGGTGTATGTACACCTGTAGTCCCAGCTACTCAGGAGGCTGAAGCGGGAGGATCAGGAGCCCAGGAAGTTGCGGCTGCAGTGAGCAGTGATTGCACCATTGAACCTCAGCCTAGGCGACAGAGGGAGACCTGTCTTACAAGAAGGAAATAAATACATAAATAAATTTCATCCCCCATCCTCTTCTTAAAATGTAACATTAACACTCATCCTTGAAGAGGTGGGGTCTCTGTTCCCTCCCCTTGATCCTGGGCAGACCTTTGTAATTGCCTCAACGGTAAGAATGTGGTGAATGTGCCACTGCATGACTTCCAAGGACGGGTCCTGAGAGGCAGTTCTCTTCAGTCTGGTGCTCTCCTAGTCCCTCTGAGCTGCTACAGAGGACATTCAGCTACTTGAAGCTGCCATGTCATAAAAAATTCTTGGAAAGCCCTCAGAGGGATCAAGGAGAGAACCGTCCAAGAAACTCCAACGGTCCCAGCCCCAGCCGTTGAAGGCTTCCCAGTACAGACATCAGACATGTGAGTGAAGAAGCCTTCTAGGGACAGCCCCAGCCACTATCTGACTGTTCCCTCATAACAGACCCCAAGCCAGAACTAACCAGCAGAGACACTCCTGAATTCCTAATCCAAAGAAATTGTCATTTTAGGCTGGGCGTGGTGGCTCACGCCTATAATCCCAGCACTTTGGGAGGCCAAGGTGGGTGGATCACAAAGTCAGGAGTTCAAGACCAGCCTGACCAACATGGTGAAAACCCATCTCTACTAAAAATACAAAAAAATTAGCAGGACATGGTGGCTTATGCCTGTAGTCCCAGCTACTTGGGAGGCTGAGGCAGGAGAATTGCTCAAACCCAGCAGGCAGAGGTTGCAGTGAGCAGAGATAGCGCCACTGCACTCCAGCCTGGGTGACACAGTGAGACTCCTTCTCAAAAAAAAAAAAAAAAGAAAGAAAGAAAGAAAGAAAGAAAAGAAATTGTAATTTTAAGCTGCTGAATTTTAAGCTGTTTTTTTATGGTGCAACAGGAAATTAATACACCAATGCGTGCTGTCCAGACTGTGAGACTGTGAAAGTCATCTCCTTTCCATAATTTCCACACACAAAAAGAAAACACTCACACAAGGCCTTTTTGTGGTTAGCCCGCAAGAGATAAAGAGATAAATGACATAAAACCAACGACTTAAAATTGAATTTGGACATCTCAGTTCTAAAAATCCTTTATAACCCCACCCACTCTAAGCAATGCTCATCATCCCTATCTTACCTCCTCCTCCTCCTCTCATCTTCCTACAAACTTCAAATTCTTCTTCACTCTGTCAGGCAGAGCAATTACATTCTTTCCAGCTCTTTCTCCCAAACTCAGCTCCAGGACAGCCTTTCAAAGTCCAGAGCCCTTTGCTAACCTGCCCAGTGGAATTGGACTTTTCTAGCTCCAATCATTGAACTCAATGATTTTCTAGCTCCAATGATGAACTCAATCTAGGTTCATCATTTTAGCTGATCTGCCTGTGGCCAGCTTCCCTACATTGGATGCCAGCCTGGTAAAACAACAATTCATAAATCACAGTGAAAGCTAAAATGTTTCAAGGACCTGCTATGTGCTGGTGCAGGTTAAGCGCCTCACATGAGCCACTTCATTCAACCATCACAAAAACCCTTTAAGATAAGTACCATTTGCCAGGCAGGGCGGCTCATGTCTGTAATCCCAGCACTTTGGGAGGCTGAGGCAGGCGGAGCACCTGAGGTCAGGAGTTCAAGACCAGCCTGGCCAACATGGCAAAACTCCATCTCTACTAAAAATACAAAAATTAGCCAGGCATTGTGGTGCACGCCTGCAGTCCCAGCTACTCAGGAGGCCGAGGCAGGAGAAATGCTTGTACCTGGGAGGGGAAGGTTGCAGTGAGCTAAGATCATGCCACTGCACTCCAGCCTGGGCAACAGAGTGAAACTCTGTCTCAAAAAATAAATAAATAAATAAAATAAGGACTATTATTATCCCCATTTTACAGATGAGGAAACTGAGACTTCATAGTGTTTTAGGTGCCTGTGGTCATATCCATAATTGTGACAGAGTCAGATTCCAAATCACTTTACCAATATTGCTTAAGTGAGTGGGAGGAAAGGGAAGGCTCTCTGGAGCCAGGCTATTCTGGACAGTGGCTTTTGGAAACTCTAGTGAATAAAGTGGTAGTTGTTTCTATGAACATGGAGTGAGAAGGCCCAATCTAAACACACCAGTGCTTAAGGCAGCTGCAGAGAATAAAAGGCAATAGGAAAAGGGGGAGCTGGATGGCAGGAACTTGGATGGCAGGAGCTTCACCCACCCTTCAAGGGCAGGTGCAGATGCCAACAGCCTCCTGCCTGGAGGACTGAAGAAGGGTTGGGTTTCACTGGAGACCTCCAGGAGAAGGATCTGCTTGTTGGGACAGAGGTAGGGAGGTGAGAGCGAGGTGAGGAAGTTGGTGGGGGAGGTGCACACAATTCCACTAAAGAGCTGGCAGTGAAGCAAGAGGGAAGAGGCGGATGGAGTATTCATGAGACCGCTGATCCAGGAAGGACTCTGGCATATTAATATGGAAAAGGCCTGTTTGTTTGTGCTTGGAGAGGAAGGAGCCAGTGGAGAGGGGAGAAAGGTGGGCAGGACCTGGGGAAAGTCTGCAGCAAGGTCTGCAGAGCCCGAGGCGCACTCAGCCTGGGCCCTGAAGGGGACGTGGGGTAAGTGATGGGGCGCAGGCTGAGCGTCAGGGGGAAGGTGCTGGGCCCTGAAGGTCCTGAGGGGGACCTCAGACGGCCTTCTGGCTCCTCACAAAGAAACGGGACCATTATATCCGTCCCGCATCCCGGTCTCCCCCCGTATTACCTGGCTGAGGCCCCCGGGAAGCCCGGGCAGAGGACAGAGGGTGGGCGCGGGAGGCTGGACGGAGCGGGGCGGAGCTGGATGTCGGGCGCCGGCCTCCCTCCCCGCAACCCGTCTGGTCCTCTCAGGTGACAGCCCCCGCCGGCCCCCGCCCCGCCCCCCGCATATTCAGGATCCCCAGCCCTCCCCTACCGGGAGCAGCCAGCGCCGGAGCGCCGGGAGCCTCAGCCGTCGGTGCGTGAGCGGACCCGCACTCGTCCCCCTCGACCCCACCGCCCGCCATGGCCGCTGCTGGGGCCGCCCCCTGCAGCCTTCTTGTACTCCTCCAGGTGCTAGTGCTCGCTCTGGCACAGATCGTAAGTCCCGCAGCCCCTCCGCTGCCAGGGTCCAGGGTGCGGGGTGTGGGGCTCAGGTTGGAGGAGCTCTGCCTGTGTCCCGCGCCTACTGACACCCCTAGACCTAGGGCCCCCCTAAGGAGAGCGCTGCGGGCAGGTACCCTCTGTGGGTGCCCATCTCGGGACGGTGAATGGAGGTGGCTGAGCCGGAGAGCCAGAGGGGACCCGTCCCGAGACGCGCGGCCCTGCCCAGGACAGGCAGCATGGGGCAGGAGTTGGCGCCCGGTCCTGGCAGCCCGGGAGCCCAGGTGGCTGGGCGCACAATGGTGCCCATTCACCGGCAGCGCAGCCTCCGCCCCCGCCGCCTCCCAGGGGGCGCCGGCTCCAACCAGACGCCGCTGTCGCCCCGCGGCGGCCTCTCGGCCCGGCCCGCCAGCCCACGTCTCCCTTCCGAGAGCCAGCCGCCGGGGGCTACAGGAGCCCGGGTGGGGCAGGGCCCGGGCCGGGTCGGGTGCTGGATGCTGTTCCGAGCTTGTCTGCGGGGCACAACAAGCCTGGCACTTTGCGGTCTGGGGAGGTCGTGGGCACTGAGACCCCTGCCTGGGTCCGAGCTGGCCTCTTAAAAGGGGCACCCCTGGGAAGACAAGTCCGCTGTGCTGCGGGAGGGGCGCTCCGAGTGGGAAGAGAGTACCCGCCTCACCTCCCTACTCCCCCTTTCTCTGCGCCTCCCCAACTTTCCCGTCGGGTTATCCCGCACCAGGGGGAGAGGAGGAGGCGCTGTCTCTACCTGTCGTTCACGTTAAGAACGATAACCCAGGCTCACTGAGGGCCGATCGCCTGCTAGGCACCACCTTGCATTCCATCTGCGATTTATTTGAGCTGTCCACGTCCCTATCTATTCCCCACCGCGACCGCGCAAGGGCAACCTGGCACAGTGAAAGGAGTCGGGCTGACCCAGGGCGGAGTCCTGGCGCCACTGCCCACTCGCATTGACCATGGATCCTTCGTGGTCCTGAGCCTGTTTCTACGACTGCAGACTGGGGCCCGTCATAGCGCCCGCCCCCCGGTTCTGAGTATTCTATAAGATAATGCATGTAATGGCACACAGTGCCTGCTACGCAGAAGCTTCTCAACACGTGGGAGTTCGCGGAGGAGGTGTGCCCCTAGGACCCCGCTCCCTGGGTCGCTTGCAGCCCCGGGGACCCCAGGGGCCTGCACCGTCTGAGGGCTGCACCCGTGTGTGTTTTCAGAGAGGTCCGCCGGGAGAGAGGGGCCCCCCAGGCCCCCCGGGACCGCCGGGAGTGCCTGGAGTGCCTGGATCCGACGGCATCGACGTGAGTCTCTAACCTGGGACCGCGGCGGGAGGGAGGCGGCGGACAAAGGCGAACTTTGTGAGCGCTGTGGTGGGGGTGGGGACTGGGGTGCCCGGAGATGTAGTGCCCTCCGTCGTCAGTAGGCGGCGCCGGCCCGCACCACAAGGACCCCGTTTGTTCTGCAAAAACCTCAGCCCAGCTCTGGCCTGCAGAGCCCGTCATAAACGCCGGCGGACAAGGAGCTGCTGTTCAGTCCGCCGGCCGCAGTTCACAGCGAGGCCTTATCCCCCTCCCCTCCCTTCCCCTCCTTGTGGGGTAAGAGGCGCCTGGAGCCCTCACCCTGCCTCTGGCACATCTGCACGCTTCTTCAGGGCCGCTTGCGCGCCTTGGCCAGACCGCCGACCAGCTTGGGCCAGACTCCTGTCTCTTCCCTTGTTTTTTTCTCCCCAATTTAGAATCAGCTGGGCTTGTTCCCTGCAGGGCGAGGGTTAAATACCTCATTCTGAAGGTTCCCCAAGGCGGGCAGCTTGATGTTTAGCTGTCTGGACAGACCTCTATTCAACCTGGTGTCCCCACCCCCCCAAACACAGGATGCTGGGCCCTCGGCCAGGCCCTGGCTGCTGCGCGTTCTGAAATGCCTGGAGGCCTCTCTGGGGCTGAATGGGGCTCCACCGGTCCTGCCTGCCCACCACCAAGGATCCTTTGTCACTGGGGAAGGAGATAGTTCCCTCCTTGGGAACACTGAATTTCTCCCTCACAGTCCCCCTTGGTCCTCACCACTGGCTCAGCTTCCCGTTTTCCTGTCCTACAATCTGGAATAGAGCTGCTGCCCAACTCGCTCATCCCCCTTCACAAAGCCCCAACCTTCCTCCCACACATGCCCAAAACCACGAGGCATCAGCTTGGAGCCCCCAGCTCCGGTAGTGGGTCTCACAGCTGGCACCTCATGACATCAGCATGTCTGTACCTTCTAGCATGTTGCTGTCACCCTCTCCAGCCCGGCCAGGGTGTTCTTGTGCACATATGATTTGTTTTTGACCTTTATTTTTGAGGAAAAGGGGGCTCTTTTCCCAAAGATTGCAAGGCTTAGGGGACCTGGACAGAAGAGAGGAGAGGAGGAGGAGAGCCCACACGAGCGGCCTGCCAGGGTCTGTGTGTAACGTGAGCCACAGTGTGCTGTCTCACCAACTTGTATCTTGCAGGGTGACAAGGGGCCCCCAGGAAAAGCTGGCCCTCCGGTGAGTGCTTTATCCACTTTGGCCTTTGACCCTTCCTGCTCTTTCCCTCCTCTGGCTCATGTTTGCTCCACCTCTGTTTTCAAGGGACCCAAGGGCGAGCCTGGCAAAGCTGGGCCAGATGGGCCAGACGGGAAGCCCGGGATTGATGTGAGTATGGAGTGTCGGGTGGGGTAGGGTTCAGCTCTGCCAATTGACCTGCAGGGCCTGGCTCCAGCATTTTCGCTGATCTGTTCAGAGATGGGCAACAGGATGGAGAATCTCCAGCTGGGAGCCCCCCTCACCTTGATGTGACGTATGACCTCCCTGGAACCTCACACCCACCCAGGGACATTGACTTGCAGGCAACCGGGGTCCAGAGAGAGGCTCTACTTTCTGGGAGGTGCAGGCTCCTCCTGCTCCCCTGCAGCAGTCAGGACTTAGTGTCACATGTCTGGCCTCCAAGGATCAGGCTGAATATGTTGGGTAGGGCTGTCCTTGTGTGTCCTGTCCTTTCCTCTGACCTTCCCCCAACCCTTGCCCACAGCCGCAGGCACCACTCAGGAGAGAAACATCACTTAGCTGATACTACAGAGCTCCCAGGACCCCCAAAGTCACAGGCTCCTGAACACAGCCAGCCCCAGGGGCATGAGGACAGTCATCTGGTGGGGGTTACACTGGGTCAGTCACTGAAAGATGGGAGAAAGGAAAACCTCCCCCTATTACTTGCTTCTGCCCTGCTGGCTCAAGAGGTGTGATGGGCTGGGACAGTCACCAGAGCCCCTTCAAACTCAACCACATCCAAACGATTACGAGGCACATTGCCTTCTACTAGTGCATCGGTTCTCATAGCCACCCAGAGTGGTACCCAGATGAGAAACTAAGGCTCCGAAAAAGTTGCCAATGGCCAGGCATGGTGACTCAAGCCTGTAATCTCAGCACTTTGGGAGGCTGAGGTGGGCAGATCACTTGAGGTCAGGAGTTTGAGACCAGCATGGCCAACACGGTGAAACCGCGTCTCTACTAAAAATGGAAAACTTTGCCTAGCACAGTGGTGCATGCCTGTAGTCCCAGCTACTTGGAAGGCTGAGGCACAAGAATCGCTTGAACTCAGGAGGTGGGGGTTGCAGTGAGCTGAGATTGCGCCACTGCACTCCAGCCTGGGCAACAGAGTGAGACCCTGTCTTGAAAAAAAAAAAAAAAAAAAAAAAAAAAAAAAAAAAAGGGGGGGAAAAAAAAAAAAAAAAAAAAAAAAAAAAAAAAAAAAGAAGGGAAGAGAAGGGGGGGAAAAAAAAAAAGAAAAAGAGAAAAAGTTGCCAAGGCAGGACATCAAGCAAATGACGAGTCTGACCCATGTCTTGGTCTGCTAAACTCCTGACCCCAGAGGCAGGAAGCCTGGGCCTGGAATGAAGCCACATCTTTGGGCTTTGGTTTCTCATCTTTCAAAAGAAGGGAATTGTTCTGCCTGCCTCCTAGGGTTATTGTGGGAACTGAGGAAAAGGAAAGAAAGGTGTCGAGGTTCCTAGGCCTTCACGAGGCCTGGTGAAAGGGAGCCGCGGCCCACCCAGGAGGGACTCTTGAACCTGCCCTGCTCTGTGGGTCAGGGAGCAGGTTGCCCTTCACTGATCCTACATTTTCATTCTTCCTCAGGGTTTAACTGGAGCCAAGGGGGAGCCTGGCCCCATGGGGACCCCTGGAGTCAAGGTAAGTGGCCTGCTGGGGACCCAGCAGGGGCAGTCTAGGGCCAGCGTTTGGGCGTGGCTGTAGAGAGGAAGTAGGGGCCCAGGAAACCCCGTTTCTGAGCCTTTCTCATTGCTCTTGCAGGGCCAGCCTGGGCTTCCTGGTCCTCCCGGCCTTCCGGTGAGTACAACCTGCATGGGCTTGGAGGGACTCTGGGGGTAGAGGGGACCTGCAGAGGGAGCCATGAAACTAATTTTCTTTCCTTCTGTTCCAGGGCCCTGGTTTTGCTGGACCTCCTGTAAGTCCTCAGGGATGAGGCAGGGTCCCTGGAACTCCCAGGGAAGGAGAAGACAACAGAGGGGGTTCGACGGAATAGCCACCATGGGGAGGGGCTGGTGTGCTGTGACAGTGTCAGGAATAGGTGGACCTGCCAGAGACCCAGGACAAGCCCACTCTGGGCCTGTCCACTGGCTCTGGAATTCTCTGGTCCTTAAAGTTTCAGTCTGTCAGTCTCTCTGGGGTTGGCAAAAAAAAAAAGTAAAAGTGGAGAAATGGGCTTTGGGTGCCTGTCTCTACCTTCATGCCCAGGGTATCTGACCCTCTGAGGCATCCTGACCATCCACTCTCTGCTCCCCAGGGACCACCTGGACCTGTTGGCCTCCCTGGTGAGATTGGAATCCCAGGCCCCAAGGTGAGCCCCAGCCACCCTCTACTCACTGCCTCCCACCCTCTGTTTCCAAGCTGGCAAGCTCAGTGGTCTTTCTGGGAGTTCCTGGGCTGCCTTCTGGCCACTGGGACACTCCTCCAGGTCTGGAGCAGAAGCCCCTCTTATGAGCCCACCCAAGGGTAGGTCTTTTAGGGATGCCAAGGCTGGTCCCATCCCCGGCCAATCAGGCCTTGATCTCCCAAGATGGTGGATCTCAGAAGGTGACCAGGAAGACAGGGCGGACAGGGCAGCAGCAGGACCTGGAGAAGGGCACTCGGATAAACTGGAAAGGGCTGGTCAGGGGTATGATTTGGGCTCCTCTTGCTTCCAGGGGGACCCTGGACCAGATGGACCATTGGGGCCCCCAGGACCCCCTGGGAAACCTGTAAGTGTCCCCAAATTCTCCACATGGCAAAGTGCAAGGGGAGGAGAAGGGTCGTGAGGAAGCCCGCTGTGGGGAAGTGTCAGGCCAGGCTCCATCTTCATGTCTCCTCTCAGGGTCGCCCAGGAACCATCCAGGGTCTGGAAGGCAGTGCGGATTTCCTGGTGAGAGGCGAGGTCTGGGGTGGGGGCTAATGCAGGCAGGCGGGGCCACGGAGATGGGGGCGTTGGGAGACATGGGGAGGGGCTGCAGTGCAAGGTTCCACCAGGGGAGGTGGAGAAGAGCTCAGGAGTCGGCGAGATGGGGCGCACTGCCCAGCTGATCACAGGGCCCTGTGGGATTTTCTTTTTCCAGTGTCCAACTAGCTGTCCAGCTGGGATGAAAGGTCCCCCAGGGCTGCAGGGAGTGAAGGTGAGGGCTCCTGGCCTGAGTCTTGGGAGGGTGGAGCAGGTGACAGGAGGGGACCTCGTACAGAGCTCTCTCCTTCTCTTCAGGGGCATGCAGGCAAACGCGGGGTTCTGGGTGATCCTGGCCGCCAGGGGAAGCCGGTAAGTGCCAGGGCTGAGGGCTGTGGGTCGGGGATACGTGGAGATGTCCTACTGGGCTCTGTCCCCTTTTGTCATCCCTTTCCCTTCCCCTTCCCCTGTGGTTCTGGGGACAAGGCCTTGAGCCAGGGGCTGGAGGCCTGTGCTCTGTGTCGGCATGTCTCTGGGCATGTCTCTTTGCTTGGCCTCAATTTCTCTGTCTGTAACGTGGGACTGTATAGTTTGTAGGAGTCCTTCCTGTCTGCTCATGTTGGGGAAAGGAGGTGGTTTCCTTGCTTGTCTGTATGTGTGTTTTTCCATCTGCCCGCCTCTCTGACAGCTCATCCCTGCCCTTTAGGGTCCCAAAGGAGATGTGGGTGCCTCTGGAGAGCAAGGCATCCCTGGACCACCGGTAAGGAACGTTGCCTTGGTGGCCCTCCTCTTACTCACCCCAGGAGCCCTTAATGGAGTCATTTCCCTGCTCAGTCCTCTAGCTTGTAACAGAGACACCTGTGTCTAGCTGGGAGCATCTCTGGGTGGGGAGAAGGAGGCTGAAACTCTCATGAATTAGGGACAGGAACCAAAGCTGTCAGCAAGAAGGCCAGGCTGAGGTCCAGGTGTGCCACTGTCCCTTTGAGTAACCTCATCTCTGAACCTCAACGTCCCACCCATGAGACAGAGACTTGCTGCCTACCTCAAAAGGGCACTGTAAGATTGGAGGTGGGCATCATGGTATCATGAAGTGGGCCCTGCAATTGCCATTGCTGTCACTTTTCTGTCTCAACAGGGTCCCCAGGGCATCAGGGGCTACCCAGGCATGGCAGGGCCGAAGGGAGAGACGGTAAGTGAATCTAGGGGTGTCCTGCAAGAGCTTCCAGGAGCTGCCTTCTGGCCCTTGGGGTTCAGCCAGGACTGACCTGCAACCCTTATCTCTCCCCAGGGCCCTCGTGGATATAAAGGCATGGTGGGCACCATCGGTGCCACTGGGCCACCGGTAGGCCTGCATTTGCTCCCCCAATCCCCTAGGCTGGAGCTCCTACAGCTACAGTCACAGAGTGGGCATGGCTCCCCCTGAGCCTGTGTGACCTGAATTCCTGCTTGTCTTTCTTGCCAGGGTGAGGAAGGTCCCAGGGGACCACCAGGCCGAGCTGGAGAGAAGGGTGATGTGGTGAGTCCTCAGACATCCATTGCTCAGTCAGGGCCCCTGGGGAGTACTGGGCTCCATCTAAGGCTGTGTGTGTGTGTGAGAGTGTAAGTGTGAATGTGTGTGTGAGTGTGCAGTATGTATATATGTGAGTGTAGTGTGTGTGTATATGAGTGTGTGTAGTGTGTGTGTGCGGCTATGTGTAGTGTGTATGTGAGTGTGTGAGAGGATGTCTGTGTGTGTGTGTGTGTGTGTGGCTGTGTGTGTGAGTGTGACTGTGTGTGTGTCTGTGTAAGTGAGTGACCTGCCGGGGAGGACCATCTGTGCCAACAGCCCAGTCAGCCCAAATTCAGACTTTAGGAGAAGCCCTGGGATCCAGTCCCATGGTCACTGGGGCCAGACAATGAGATTCCAGCAAATCAGCCATGGGGCTAATGGGATTTGGTCTGGATCCCAGTTCTCTTAACTCTTTTTTTTTTTTCTAATTAATAGACCTGTGGGAGAAAGCAGTTTTAAGTTTACAGAAAAAAGTTGAGCAGAAAACACAGTTAACTGTTATTTATTTAGTTTTATAAATTATTTTCTCTTTAAAATTTTAAAAATTCTTATATTTTTCTTTTTCCATTAGACAGCAGAGATCATCTAGCTGTTTTTTTGTTTGTTTTGTTTTTGAGATGGAGTTTTGCTCTTGCTGCCCAGGCCGGAGTGCAATGGTGCCATCTCGGCTCACTGCAACCTCCGCCTCCCAGGTTCAAGAGATTCTCCTGCCTCAGCCTCCCAAGTGGCTGGGATTACAGGCATGCGCCATCATACCCAGCTTATTTTGTATTTTTAGTAGAAACTGGATTTCACCATGTTGGTCAGGCTGGTCTGGAACTCCTGACCTCTGGTGATCCACTGGCCTCACCATCCCAAAGTGTTGGGATTACAGGCGTGAGCCAACGTGCCCAGCTATATCTAGTCTTTTAATGCAATTTTTTAACTATACAGAAAAGCAGTGAGAGAGTTATAATGAATCCCCAAGTACCTATCACAGGTTCCAATTCAGCTATTAACATTTTGCCATTCTTTCTTCCTCTATTCCCCAGGCCCCTCCTTCCTTTACTTTGTTATTACTTTGCTCTGATGTTTTCAAGTAAATCCTTAACATCCTATCATCTCAGCCCTGGATACTTCTGTGTATATCCTTAAACAATAAGAACTTATTATCACAACTGACAAATAAGTGCTCCTTAACATCATCCAATGGCCAGTCTCTGTTCAATTTTTTCCAATTATCTCGAAAATGTCTTTTCACGGTTCTTGTTCAAATCAAGACTCAAACAGCAGCCACACATTGCATTCAGTTGGTATGCTCGCTCATGGCCACACATTCATTCACATGGGCCCAGGCATCTGAGAGCGCATAAAGTACTCGTCTCTTCCCCATAGACCCCAGGTCCTAGGAGACAGGCCCCACTCCTCTCCCACCACGGTGGGAAAGTACAGTTAAGCTCATGATGCCACGGCTGGGCCTTCTGTTGTTCAGCTCCCACAGGTGGGGGAAATCTGGACTGGGGTTGGGAGGCAAAGCAGCAGGGCAGAAACTGACTTCAGCTTTGGCTAAGTGGAGTGTGGGGCCTTGGCCAGGTCTCAGTGGATGCTGGCTCCCACCCCTGCTCCTGCTCAGCCCAGCCTGGCTCCTGGCACTGACTTCTCCTCTCTCCTGCTGGTGCCAGGGCGGGAAGGGTACTCCCAAGGGCCTCTCCCCCAGCCCCTGTACAGTGTGGCCTATGCCAGAGGAACTCTGGGACCCAGAGGCCACTGTTCTCACTTGTTCCCCTCTCTGCACAGCCAGACTGGGACCCAACATGCTGAAGGTGACCTGATCTCTCCCCACTTTGCAGGGCAGCCCAGGTGTTCGTGGACCCCAGGGGATCACAGGCCCGAAGGGAGCCACGGTAGGTGCCAGGGGCCAGGACCCAGTTGCTTTGTCCCAACCCCCAGAAGAGAAGCCTGGGATGCTAGACTGAACTCTGCAGCCGGTGGGCTGGTTCTGTCACCTCAGGAAATGCCTCCCTTTCTGTGCCTCTGTTTCCTCACCTGTAAACAGGGGTGATGACATGGGGGAGGTCATGGGGAGCTTGTAGCAGTCGGGGACACCCCCATCCACACTAGGGAAGGAGTGTGTTCTGTGACCCTCATCCCCTTCCCACTTCAGCTCCCCCAGTTGGCTGGTGGGGCTTCCTGGGATGACCAGAGCCACTCCGTCCCTGCACAGTGCAGCTTTCGCAGAGGAACAGGGGTGGGTGGCCTGACCCCAGACATCTCCACATTGTCACTCTCCCTTGAACTTTCCTCCTGAGTAGGGCCGCCCAGGCATCAACGGCAAGGACGGGACCCCAGGCACGGCTGGCATGAAGGTAGGAGCAGGGCTGCTGGTGGGCCTGGGGCAGGGGCAGGGCCTCGAGTCTGACCACCAGGATTCTAAACACCTGGAGTCTGGGGTCCTCAGGCGTGTCATGGACACGCCCTTTCTTGCCTCTGGATCTGTTTCCCTACCTGCACCTGGGTAGAAGCCATGGCCTCTGGCTGGAGCTCTAATTTGTGCCTCTGGTTCTCTGTCTATCCCAGGGCAGTGCAGGACAGGCGGGGTGGCCAGGAAGCCCAGGCCACCAGGGTCTAGCGGTAAGTATCAGGTGGAGCCGCAGGGGCCGGCCAGGGGCAAGTGGCTGATGAGATTAGAATCCACACACACCTGGGGCTTTTGCTCAGTCACTACCTCTTGCTTCATTACCAACTCTGTGGCCCCTGGCCTGGCAAAGACCTCATCACTTGGACAACTGCTCTAGCCTTCTTTTTGGCCATCCCAGTCCTCCATGTTGGCTAAATGGAATCTGACCATTTCCCTGCTGTAGCACCTTCCATGGCTCCCCTACACTGGCCTCCAGGAAAAAGTCATTCAGTCCAGTCCTTCAATAAGTAGTTATTGAGGTCAGGTGCAGTGGCTCATGCCTGTAATCCCAGCACTTCAGGAGGCTGAGGCAGGAGAATCGCTTGAACCCAGGAGGCGGAGGTTGCACTCAGCCAAGATTGCACCATTGCACTCCAGCCTGGGAACAGAGCTAGACTCTGTCTCAAAAAAGAAAAAAAGCAAAATAGTTATTGAATATCTGAGGTATACTAAGTGGCAGGAACAGTTACAAACAGGACAGAGGCAATCTTTGTCCTCGTGGCTCATCTTAGCATTCAATGACCACTGTAATCTGACCCCAACCTTCCCCTCCTGTCTTACCAGCCATGGCCCCTCTCTGTCCTTCCCCTTCTCAATAGGCCTAGGCTTTTCGGCTCCACACCTTTAGACCTTTGCTGGTCCCTTGGCTTGAAATGCCCTTTCTGGTCTTTTTGTGCCTTCTCATCATTCAGGGCTATCTCCATTCCATACCTTCCGGAGTCCAGTCCATAGGAGCCTGCCCTCCCTCCCTGTGGGGGGACTGAGTGGCCAAGCCTGTTTCTGTGCACACATGCAGACTTGTGTTCCTGCGTGGATTCACATGGGCCCAGGCATCTGAGAGCACATAATGTACTCGTCTCTTCCCCATAGACCCCAGGTCCTAGGAGACAGGCATTCTCTATGCCCCACTCCTCTCCCACCACGGTGGGAAAGTACAGTTAAGCTCATGATGCCATGGCTGGGCCTTCTGTTGTTCAGCTCCCACAGGTGGGGGAATCTGGACTGGGAATGGGAGGTAAAGCAGCAGGGCAGAAACTGACTTCAGCTTCCTTTTGCAGGGTGTGCCAGGCCAGCCTGGGACAAAAGGAGGCCCTGGAGATCAGGTGAGGTGATCCCAAGCCGGGGACAGAATTGAGCAAGAAGTCTGGGGCCAGGAAGACAGCAAGGCCCAGGCCTTACCAAGTCTCAGAGGCTCAGCCCGTACATAAGCCCCTGGGGCCTAACCACTTCCCTCCTGCCACCTCCCCCCTCCATGCACCCCTCAGCCTGCCTCAGTGCAGATAGGATGGCATGGCTTTCAATCCAGAGGAGAAACAAACACAGGAAAATCAGGAGCCAAGAGGACTGAACCAAGAACACCTTCTCTCCCTCCCCAATTCATTTGGTTCCAGGCTCTGTTTAGGCTTGGTTGGGTTTCCCTGAAGCCAAGGGCCTGACTGGGCTACCCAGAGTGACCTGAGAACTGTGTTTCCCTGCAGGGTGAGCCGGGCCCACAGGGCCTTCCTGGATTCTCTGGTCCCCCTGGGAAAAAGGTAAGTGCTCCCTCCACTGACACAAGCGTTCTTGCTTTAGGGTGAGGCCGTGGGGTGGAGGCCTGACCTAGGGAGAGCTCCGAGTTAGTCTGGTTCTGCCCTGACCACTGACCCAGGGAAGCTCTTTCTCCTTTCTGGGACTGTTTCCCTATGTACATTGCAGGGAGGGTGGGGACTGGCTCTGTTCTGGAGTGTGACTTTCCCAGATGGCCAAACTGATAGACTGGGAATCCAGCAGGCAGAGTCATTCATTCATTTATTCATTGCATAAACATTCATTAAATACCTGTAACTATGAGTCTTCTCACATGGAGGGTATAGTTTAGTGAAAGAAATAGATATGAAATAAATGATCACATGATAAGTAATTCAAACTGTGTTGCGTCCTTTGAAGGAAAAGTACAGGGACCTGGCCAGGTGCGGTGGCTCACGCCTGTAATCCCAGCACTTTGGGAGGCAGTGGCGGGTGGATCACCTGGGGTCTAGCCTGACCAATGTAGTGAAACCCCGTCTCTACTAAAAATACAAAAAATTAGCCGGGGGTGGTAGCAGGTGCCTGTAATCCCAGCTACTTGGGAGGCTGAGGCAGGAGAATCACTTGAACCCGAGAGGCAGAGGTTGCAATGAGCCGAGATTGAGCCATTGCACTCCAGCCTGGGCAATAAGAGCATACTCCATCTCAAAAAAAAGTACAGGGACCCAAAAGCATGGAACAGGAGGTCTGGGAAGCCTTCCCTGATGAAGCAAATTAGCTGAGACCCAAGGGTAGGGAGGGGCTGACCAGGTGTGGAAGGGACGGTTCCACCAGGTCAAAGCTTAGCCCCAGTTTCTCCTTCCTCCAGGGAGAGCCAGGGCCTCGAGGAGAAATTGGTCCCCAGGGCATCATGGGACAGAAGGTAAGTGTCTGGCACAGGGGCCCCTCCCTGGGGGCCTCTGCAGCAGCTGGAACTGCTGGATGCAGGACCTGCTTTGCGCTGTCCAGCCTGTGAGAGGCCTCCCCAGGTCGGGCCTGGGTTTGCTTTGCTGATCTGACAAGTGGAGCAAAGGACCCGCTGCCAGTGACCGCAGAACGGAGGGCACCCTGACCATGCGGTGTCAGGCCCGGCTGCGGGAGGCCATATCTGCTGAGGGCTGCTGAGGGTGAGAACTTCTCTTTCCATTTCAGGGTGACCAGGGTGAGAGGGGTCCAGTGGGACAGCCAGGCCCTCAGGGACGGCAGGTGAGTGCAGGCCAGCTGATGTGGGGAGGGCGTCATATCCAAGCCCCTTACTCCACTTATTCCTTTGGTTTCTTTTCTCCTCAGGGCCCTAAGGGGGAGCAGGGCCCCCCTGGAATTCCAGGGCCCCAAGGCTTGCCGGGCATCAAAGGAGACAAGGTGCCAGATGGGGTTGGGAAACACCTGGGAAAGGGGCCCTAAGACAAGGGGAGTGGGGTCGGCAGGACTCGGGTCCTTCCGGAACCTCCAAACCTTAGGGTCGCAGGCTTCTGGTCTGGTGGGCGAGGCAGAGCTGGAAAGAGGGGGGTGGCCGAAAGCTAGGTGGGGGACCCCGCGGAGTGGGGAACTCACCAAATCCCTCATTCCCCGCTTCCTCCAGGGCTCCCCAGGGAAGACCGGGCCCCGCGGCGGAGTGGTGAGTCCCAGCGCCCCCGACCCCAATCACCCCCAACCCTGCTCCGCGTCCCCGCCGCCACCGCGCGTCTGACCCGTGGTTCTCTCTGCAGGGTGACCCGGGGGTGGCCGGCCTTCCCGGAGAGAAAGGCGAGAAGGTGAGGGCGCGGCCTGGGGAAGGGCGGGGAGCAGTGGCTGGCCCCAGGGTCCCCACCACTTTCTGACCGCGGCTCCGTGTGCCTGCAGGGCGAGTCCGGCCAGCCAGGGCCCAAGGGACAGGTGAGTCCTCCCCTCCCCGCGTTCCCCGACTTCCCTGGGCAGCCCTGGGACCTCCCTTCTCCCAGCCCCTCCCCCTCCATCGACCCCACCCCCCACTCTCGCCCACCCCTCCGGGAGCCTTCTCACCTGTCTCTGCTCCCACCCTACCCTCCCGCAGCAAGGAGTCCGTGGAGAACCCGGCTACCCTGGCCCCAGCGGGGATGCGGGCGCCCCAGGGGTTCAGGGCTACCCCGGTCCCCCCGGCCCTCGAGGACTGGCCGGGAACCGAGGCGTGCCAGGACAGCCCGGGAGACAGGGCGTGGCGGTGAGTTGGGCCCGGAGCAGGTGATTCTTCCAGGTAGATTTGTTCGGGGCTGCGGCTTTCCCGCCAAAGGCTGGGGGTTCTCAGAGGCCCACCGACTTCCCCAAGACTGATTCCAAGCCTCAGAGCAGACAGGAAGGGTGTGCCTGCAGCCTGAGGGGTTACCCCGCCACCTTCCCAGGTAAGCCCTTGGCCCTGCCTAGTTAGTCTGTTCCTTAGCCTGGGAATTAATGACTCTGGACACCGGAGTCTCCTCCATGGCGGTCTCACGCTCAACCAGGTGGGAGCAGGAGCGGTTGGCCCTTGCAGCTGGGGGCTTCTTCCTGAAAGGCCTCTGCTTTCAGGGCCGGGATGCCACTGACCAGCACATCGTGGATGTGGCGCTGAAGATGCTGCAAGGTGAGGGGCAGCAACCCCTCCTCACAGTCCATTCGAAGACACTGCCCCCACCTCACCCCCTCCTGGAGCCTCCACATGTTCACTTGTCTGAGAATCTGGAGTCCTGGGGGCTCCTTCCAGCCCAGTCTCTGAAGGGCTTTGGGACCTTGAATAAGTCACTCTGGACCTTTGACTTACACAAAACAAAGCCCGAGGAAGGGGGAACTTAAACAGGGTGCTTTTCTGTCTGCAAATCTAGGGGCCAGTGCCCGTCAGGATGCTCTGCCTCCCCTAGTGTCACTGCTGGCACCCATCTCACAGACCTCCCTCTTCCTCCCTCCCTCCCTCCCTCCCTCCAGAGCAACTGGCAGAGGTCGCCGTGAGTGCCAAGCGGGAAGCCCTGGGTGCAGTGGGCATGACCGGCCCCCCAGGACCTCCTGGGCCCCCTGGGTATCCAGGCAAGCAGGGACCCCATGGGCACCCTGGCCCTCGGGGCATTCCTGGCATCGTGGGAGCCGTGGGTCAGATTGGCAACACGGGGCCCAAGGGTGAGTACTGCTCTGCGGTGGGCATGGGAGCCAGGCAGTGGGGATTTGTCTGGGCCAGCCCTTTCCCCATTCCCTTCCCAGGGTGACATACAGACCCTTCCCCATCCCCTCAGCCACATGGTCAGGGAGACACTCCTGGGCTTTCTTTCCCAGTAGCAAATTGATGGAAATGAATGTACAGTTTTCTGATTCAGGATTTCTGAGGTTTGTTTTTGAATGTGCTTAGTGGTACCCCATAAGCATCTTTCCATGTCAATAGAGAGGGGGTGGCAGACCAGCAGAGCAGTAAAGCAAGCAGGCTGGAGCCACACACAGGTGTGAATCCAGACTCCCCTTTCTCATCGTGGCCCTGAGACAAGTTCCTGCTGATTTCCCTGGGCCTTAGGTTTATCATCAGTAAAATGCGGACATTGAAAGTACCAACCTCACAGTGTGGCAGTGAGGACTACCCTTAGAGGTAGTTTACATAGAGTTCATCTTAGTTCCCTGCTTGGTAAACAGTGAATGCTAGATTGTTATGCTTACTTTCCTGCAATAAACTTTATTGGTTACCTAATCTTCCATCCTTTGTCTGCACCTTCCTTTATTTGACAAGCCTTGCATGATCATTTCCAACTTTCCTCTATTATAAACTAGCACAAAGCAGGAATAATTTCTGTGTGTGAAACACAGCAAAAAATAGAGGAAAAAGCATTTTCCAGTTCTGAAAAACGAATAGTCCCTTTTTTGTCTACAGGAAAACGTGGAGAGAAGGGTGATCGAGGAGAAGTGGGACGGGGGCACCCCGGGATGCCTGGGCCCCCAGGGATCCCAGGTAAGCTGTTGGCCCTGCCCAGCTACAGTCTGTTCCTCAGTTTGGGAATTAGTGACACGTGGACACCAGGGTCTCCTCCATGGTGGCCTCACGTTTAGCCAGCTCAGACCTTGATACCCAGCTTCTGCAGCCCTTTGGAACACCTGAGAGTCTCTGGGTGGTTCTATCTCTGGAAGCTGAGCCTCTCAGGACTTCCCAGGATGCACTATCATTTCACAGAGGTGAAGGAAGGGGCGTTTGCTTCCAAGACTCACTGATTGGGAGCTAGGGGTAGGGGACAATCACAGAATCTCTGCCTCTGGGGCAGAAACCCTTCTGAGGTGTCTTTGGCCTCATTTTCTCCATTTGAAAAATTTCCCCACCTTCAGAATTCTGGGGCTAAGATAAGAAGTGCCCCTAATGTCTTGACTTTCTCCTGTTCACAGGACTCCCTGGCCGGCCTGGTCAGGCCATCAATGGCAAGGATGGCGATCGAGGGTCCCCAGGGGCTCCAGGAGAAGCAGGTCGACCTGGCCTGCCAGGCCCCGTGGGGCTGCCGGGCTTCTGTGAACCTGCAGCCTGCCTTGGAGCTTCGGCCTATGCCTCTGCCCGCCTTACAGAGCCCGGATCCATCAAGGGGCCTTGAGCGTTAGGCCCAGACAGAGCCTGGCAGGCATCCTGGGGGGAAGGACCAGGTCCCCTCTGGGAAGACATGCACCCATCCCCAACCCAGGAAACTAACTCCCCCAGGACTTTCTGTCTGGGACCCAGGAGTTTTGAGGAAAAGGAATTCTAAGACATGGGGGAAGGGGGGGGAGAGCACACTGATGGATCGAAAAAGTGAGGCCAACACACAGGGCAAGTGGTGTCACTGGAGTGGAAGCTCCGAAGGAATAGGGTGGCTTTCCTTCCTGGGAGCATCATTCGGCTGTTACCAAAACAAACGTTTAATCTGCACCATTCTCCACTGGCTATCTTGTCCTTGGGTTAGTGAGACGTGGGCACCCCGGGATGCCTGGGCCCCCAGGGATCCCAGGTAAGAACCTGGGCCCTGCCCAGCTACAGTCCCGCCCCTCAGCTCGAGGATTAATGACTGAGGTCCCTGCCAATTCCTCATCCCATCTCACTCTCTGGACATACCAGGTGACTGCTGCTGGGTGACTTCCCTGAGGCGGCTACCCCTAAGCCAGCCCCACTACTTCCTTCCTGCCTCCCAACTGAGTATTTAAACATCATCTCCCCTCCCTTTCTCCCATAACTCCCCAGTCCCTTTCTCTCCAGGTCCACCCAGGCCTTTCTGTAAATAAAAGCTCCCAAGTTGGGTACAAACCAGGGTGTGAGTTGCTGGGCTTCTCTTCTTATGGATGGGGCAGTTGTTGCTGGGCCTCCATTGCCCAGGCAGGTAGGATAGAGGCTCTGGAGATGGAGGGCACATTGGGGCGTTTTCTCTGGGCACCTGAATTCTGAGCATTAGGATGGCATGGCATTTTTGAGGAATATCTGTGGGAGGAAGCTAGGAATGCTGACCTGCTGTGTAACTTTGGGTAAATCCCTTTTGAGCCTTTGTACAACTGTGTGTGGAGGATTTTTGTTCCTTTGTTTACTATCTGTTCCCCAGCACCTAGAGCAGCACTTCGTAGAGTGGGGATAGATGGAGAAATACAGTCTCAGTCAAGTTTCTTACCCAAAGTCTTACTAGTAAGTGGAACCTTGGATTATAGAGCCCTAGATAATCCTAATTATACTTTACCTGTTATTGACCATCATCCAGAGAGCGAGAAGGGAGCTCTGACTCAACCAAGGGCAGAGTAAGGCTTCTCTGCTTCCTGAGTATTGGCGGTCCTGACTTCATAGGTTTTTAGAACACACCAGGGTATTTTCCTAGGTGTTCCTGGTCAACTGTTTAGGAAATCCTCCTCCCTGGAAACCATCCTGAATAACAGAGAAGAGCCCAAGGTTTCTTTATCCATATTGTCTAAATGGGACTATCCCATTTCATGATGGATTATATTTGCCTTCCCACCAAACTGTACTTAGCCTGACACACAGATACTTTCAAGTTGCTTGCTCACATCACTGTGGTCTTAAAAGTTTTTGGATATAAGTTTTGGATTACAAATTCTAATTTTGTTTTGCCCTTAGAACTTTTTTTTTTTTTTTTTTTTGAGACGGAGTTTCACTCCTTACCCAGGCTGGAGTGCAATGGTGTAATCTCGGCTCACCGCAACCTCCGCCTCCTGGGTTCAGGCAATTCTCCTGCCTCAACCTCCTGAGTAGCTGGGATTACAGGCACGCGCCACCATGCCCAGTTAATGTTTTGTATTTTTAGTAGAGACGGGGTTTCACCATGTTCACCAGGATGGTCTCGATCTCTTGACCTCATGATCCACCCGCCTCGGCCTCCCAAAGTGCTGGGATTTCAGGCTTGAGCCACCACGCCCGGCTAGAATAGAACTTAAGGCCCTTAAGTGGTACATTAGCTTTCTGCTAACGATGGCAGAATACTCAAAACAGTCAAAGATACAGAAAGTATATAAGAACATGGCTGGGTGGGGCAGCTCACACCTGTAATCCCAGCATTTTGGGAGGCTGAAGTGAGGCAGATCACTTGAGGTCAGTAGCTGGAGACCCAGCCTGGCTAACATGGAGAAACCTCGTATTTACTAAAAATACACAAATTTGCTTGGCACGGTGGCTCACACCTGTAATCCCAGCACTTTGGGAGGACAAGGTGGGAGAATCACTTGAGGTCATCCTGGCCAACATGGAGAAATCCCATCTCTCCTAAAAATACAAAAATTAGCCAGATGTGGTGGCACATGCCTGTAATCCCAGCTACTCAGGAGGGTGAGGCAGGAGAATCTCTTGAACCTGGACAGTGGAGATTGCAGTGAGCTGAGATCACACCACTGCACTCCAGCCTGGGCAGCAGAGCAAGACTCCATCT